GAACACACACACACAACTAAATGAAAATAGTCAAAATCGGACTATATAACAGGGCGAGACGTTATATATTAGAAGAGTAAGCACAAATCTTCAACACACATTTGAAGACATGAAATGGTCAGGAGAAAAATGTCTTGCGCACAAGAAAAACGGTTCGGCGATAGCAATCTGTTACAAGCAATAAATATCACCATAGGAACACTGTGGTTAGGGTTCACATGAACACCTATACTGCCTCAACCCCTTCTCCCACTTTCTTACAGTCAATATTGACTTATTAAATACGTGCATATGTGACATACTAAACATACTAGTTTACCTTGAAAAGCTTCATAGAAAACACCGACCTTACCTAACCTTCTTAGTATGTTAAGATATGCATCTTATTGGTTCGTTATTACAGTTATTACTTAACCTATACCTATAATAGGTTAAGTAATAATTGTAATTATTACAGTTATTACTTAACCTATACCTATAATAGGTTAAGTAATAATTGTAATTACGAAGCAATAAGATGCTTATCTTAACATACTAAGAAGGTTAGGTAAGGTAGGTGTTTTCTATGAAGTTTTTCAAGGTAAACTAGTATGTTTAGTATGTCACATATGCACGTGTTTAATAAGTCAATATTGACTATACGAAAGTGCGAGAACGGGTTGACTGCCTCACGCTACTGCCTCGTTCTCCATCACACAAGAGTTAACAAGTTTAAACAATTAAACCGATTAATTAAAAGTTAAGGGAACAACTGTTGACAGTACAAATTGGGAGCATTACGACCCCCTGAAATGATCGTTACCTCCCGTCTGACAACCATCAGGGAACCCAAGACAGCAGAGGCATCTCTAGCAAGGCTCAAGGGCTCTCCAAGATGGCCCCTCCCTCCCTCCTGACCTTCTTGACCATGATGGGTCTGTTCAAGGCCCATCATCGTCATTTTCTATTTATCTTTGTCCAGTATTGTTACTGCAATACAGCCATAGCTCACATTGCAGCCAAATTAGCATGTAACAAGAATGAAGTTGGATTAGACCTAGGTGTCGTCACCTCTGCTGTCAAGACTATATTGTTACAAACACTCAGGTCTAATAGAAGAAAAATTCAGACTCTCAAAGGCCTGAAAGCACCAATATAAAAAGCTATGATTTGTTTAGATCTGAGACCTATGTTTATGGGCAGGACAAAAGGTCCACCAGACGGTGGACCTTTTACAACAATGGTTGCCAGGATCAGGTTGGGTTACCGTTACCTGTGGCAGGTGGCTACCGTTACCTGTGGCAGGTGGCTACCGTTACCTGTGGCAGGTGGCTACCGTTACCTGTGGCAGGTGGCTACCGTTACCTGTGGCAGGTGGCTACCGTTACCTGTGGCAGGTGGCTACCGTTACCTGTGGCAGGTGGCTACCGTTACCTGTGGCAGGTGGCTACCGTTACCTGTGGCAGGTGGCTACCGTTACCTGTGGCAGGTGGCTACCGTTACCTGTGGCAGGTGGCTACAGGTGACGGATGTTCCAATCCTGAGCACTCCAGGTGCAAACTCTGTGAGCAGGAACTGGGGCATGGTCTCACTACATTATTGACTGCCCAGTTATCAGACCCTTTAGATACCCCCGAGATGAGCTCGCAATCACTCTATTCACTCTCGTGTCTTTGATAAAAATGGACTCAACAGTTGCCAGTGCAGACTACTGATCATGTGGCCCTGTATGACTAAGCATCCCTGTGAGATGGCCACTTTCTAGCATCACGTAGCTAGTCCTTGACACTTAGTATTCCTCTTCATATAGTCTAGAGAAGCTGCACAAATGCATATGTACCTAGTAGTAGTAGTAGTAGTAGTAGTAGTAGTAGTAGTAGTAGTAGTAGTAGTAGGCATCCATCAGTCTCAGGAGACTATGGAGTTGCGCTCTGGTTGTCGGTCTGGAGTGGCCTCTCCAGGGCACAAAGCCCGGGTAGGTTGATACGGAGGAGAAGCTGTTACCCATGCAGCAGGTGCTCCCTTTTCCACGGCGCCGAATACCTAAATGTGTTACAAGAAAAAACTGACCCACAAGAGGCACCTCTAGTGCTCCACTGTTAAAAGTCACCAACTCTGCTATATGAACCATTGGGAAAATATTGTACAATCTCTCCTCCAGCAAACACTGTGTTGCTCGACTGAAAAATACACTTCAATATGTTTTATTGGATACAGCAATATCAATCACGATATCAATTTGAAGGTATTAATCTCAAAAAGAGTAATGCCGCGTGAGCTGCACACTCACGGGCAAGAGACCAGGACTCTCACGTCACACCAACAATTGCCTGTTGCGACAGGAAGCATCACAGATGTCAATTACACGATTGGGAAAAGTAATCGTCAACAAAGCAATTAGGATTATTACAACAATAACGCGTCCACAGTATCGCACAAAACATTCCCAGCCGCGCCACCACAAAACAATTATACCAAACTCTTTAGTTAAATTACATGTTACAACGCTTAGATAAAACCTATCAAACTGACCTGAGGGGGGGGGGGGGAGGGGAGGAAGGCGAGGGGGGTGCATTACTCGAGTGCAGGGGGGAGTTGAGTAAAACCCTGGTTTGTGTCTCGGAGAGGCTGCAGGATCCAGTAAGTTCAGTAGAACTTCTGGGTTGTGTCTCGGAGAGGCTGCAGGATCCAGTAAGTTCAGTAGAACTTCTGGTTTCAACTCTTTTTGACCATGTCGTAGCTCAGTCGATTAAGGCAGCGTCTGGGATGCTGCCGGACGTAGGTTCGAATCCTCGTCATGACTCTTGTGGATTTGTTCATTTGATGCATCACGCTATTGTGATGTGTGTGTAAAGAACATGTATAACATTCACGTAAATGGACAAAATAAACAGAGTAAAAAAGCCTCAGGAAAACTGAGGGGATTCCGGCGCCTTAGCACGACCATACAGCTACACTTACACCTCCAGAAGACACCTGATCAACTAGGTTGTGATTCATACGTCAGGCTGCGAGCAGCCGCCTCCAACAGCCTGGTTGACCAGTCCAGCAACGAGGAGGCCTGGTTGAGGACCGGGCCGCGGGGATAAACAGGGATTGATAAACAGGGGGGCTTGGCGTTTGCATGGAATGGACTTTGGCCTTTGTTTATGAGGACGGCCTGGTTTATGAATGAAAAACGGTTTACACACGACTCAACTGATTTCGTTCGAACACTTCCGGACCAAGTGCTTCACTGACGAATTTTGTTCGAACCACAACGCTGTAAATGTAAATAAAGTAGAAAAACAAGTAAATCGCAGTGTCATCAGTGTCTTGGTAGTCCCATGTACCAGGGTGGAACACCGCCCACAACAATATGGTGGAACACCGCCCACAACAATATGGTGGAACACCTCCCACAACAATATGGTGGAACACCTCCCACATTATGGTGGAACACCTCCCACAACAATATGGTGGAACACCTCCCACAACAATATGGTGGAACACCTCCCACATTATGGTGGAACACCGCCCACAACAATATGGTGGAACACCTCCCACAACAATATGGTGGAACACCTCCCACAACAATATGGTGGAGCACCTCCCACAACAATATGGTGGAACACCTCCCACAACAATATGGTGGAACACCGCCCACAACAATATGGTGGAACACCGCCCACAACAATATGGTGGAACACCGCCCACAACAATATGGTGGAACACCTCCCACATTATGGTGGAACACCTCCCACAACAATATGGTGGAACACCTCCCACAACAATATGGTGGAACACCTCCCACAACAATATGGTGGAACACCTCCCACATTATGGTGGAACACCTCCCACAACAATATGGTGGAACACCTCCCACAACAATATGGTGGAACACCGCCCACAACAATATGGTGGAGCACCTCCCACAACAATATGGTGGAACACCTCCCACAACAATATGGTGGAACACCTCCCACAACAATACGGTGGAACACCTCCCACAACAATACGGTGGAACACCTCCCACAACAATATGGTGGAGCACCTCCCACAACAATATGGTGGAACACCTCCCACAACAATATGGTGGAACACTGCCCACAACAATATGGTGGAACACCTCCCACAACAATATGGTGGAACACCTCCCACAACAATATGGTGGAACACCTCCCACAACAATATGGTGGAACACCTCCCACAACAATATGGTGGAACACCTCCCACAACAATATGGTGGAGCACCTCCCACAACAATACGGTGGAACACCTCCCACAACAATATGGTGGAGCACCTCCCACAACAATATGGTGGAACACCTCCCACAACAATATGGTGGAACACTGCCCACAACAATATGGTGGAACACCTCCCACAACAATATGGTGGAACACCTCCCACAACAATATGGTGGAACACCTCCCACAACAATACGGTGGAACACCTCCCACAACAATACGGTGGAACACCTCCCACAACAATATGGTGGAACACCTCCCACAACAATATGGTGGAACACCTCCCACAACAATATGGTGGAACACGTGCATCAATACATCAGGAGACTAACAAACTTCCACTATAGTCTTCCCTTTTGTTGTCTCATAGAGCCCTTTCCCTTATCCTTGGCCCCCTTCCATTTTCCCCTCCCGTTTTTTTATGCCAGTGTGCGAGCACTTTAATCGGCTTCCTCAGGCCCCTTCCTCTTTTTCTCCTCTCTCCTTGTCTACTTTTTGTCTTTATTTTCCTCGTCTTGTAACTGTTTTTCTTCACAAGTCTTTGTGATAGATAATATATAAGCAGATAGATAATATTAGCATGCTTAATAATCCTTGTAATTATTTGCTGACAATAACGTGGCTGAAATATGTTGACCAGACCACACACTAGAAGGTGAAGGGACGACGACGTTTCGGTCCGTCCTGGACCATTCTGTGACAATCGACTTGAGAATGGTTCAGGACGGACCGAAACGTCGTCGTCTCTGGTCAACTTGTAATTATTTCCTTAAGAAAGAACTTGTAAGACTCACGGCGGCTCTGAAGTAGATGGTGTCGCCAGGGCGGACCCTGAGAGCATTGAGGGTCATGGAGCAGTGGTCGTCGGTGAGTTGGAGCGGCTGCTGCTCCTCCACTCCCTCACTCACCTCCTCTCCACATATCCACAACGTCTGCAGCATCGGCCAGATCCCCGTCCGCGCAGCTATCTGATCAACACAAACAACAACTGTAAACTTCTAACTGATTTCAGAGAATTATTCCTTACCCAAACCCTAATTAAGAGATGAAGATGAGGATTTGGGATGGGACGGAGGAAAGGAATGGTGTCCAGCCACTGGGACGGTCGGGGAGTGAACGCCGACCTGCAAGAAACAAGACCGTCGCTCTACCGTCCAGTCCAAGTGATTGGACACCATTTCTTTCCTCTGTACTATCCGAAATCCTTATTTTCATCCCATCCAAGTGCTATATAGTCATAATGGCTTAACGTTTTCTTCTGATAATTACCTACCTTACCTACCTACCTACTTCCACCGGATGAACGTGTGTGTGTGTGTGTGGAAGTAGAGATAACTTACTCAAGGAAGGAACCGGGAAACAAGGCATGGCACACCGAAGAGGAAATTAGAAGATACACTTCCTAATAGAAATACCTTGGGAAACAGAACTCGGTGAAAGAGTTGCACAATGGTTCCGAGAACAACCTGTCCTCTTAAAAATAACGTCACTTTTGGCTCGTATGCGCTATGGCCAAATTTAGACGTAATTTGAAATGAAATCGACTCACAAAAGTGACGTACTGTTCCGTTTTCTGTTTGAGTCGTCCGGCCTACTCGGATACGCTAGAAGAAACTTTCAATTCACGTTTTTCATAACGTTTTGAAACTTTATGAGAATTTCCTGCCCACCTAACCTATCAGAGGACCCTTAACTTACTGTTGTTGAAAAAAAAAATCCCAAATATATTTTCAATTTTTTTTTTCACTTTCAAATTACGTCCAATTTCGGCCATACGGGTAAACGGCCAAAAGCGACGTTATTTTCAAGAGGACAGGTTGCGGAGAACCCCATCAAGCAGGTAAGGTTGGAAGGCTTGCCACTAGACTAGTCACAGAACTGTGAGGTCTGCGTTACAAAGAAACACACCATGAACTGAACCTCAGGTTGCTGGAAGTCAGGAGAGTTAAGGTGGACATATTTACCATATAAACAAAATTCTCAGGTGAACTGATAGGGTAGATAAGACAGGCTTACCACAGGTGGTGCTCGAACAAGGGAACACAGGTGGAACTTGTACTTAATGAAACAGAAACAGAAAAAATAATGTTTTCCATGTCAAAGTAGTTAGCAAATAGAATGCACTAGGTAGTGATGTAGTTTAGGTAGATTCCTTGCATAGTTTCAGATGTAGATATGAAAGAGCCCATGCAATAGGCTCAGGAACCTATAACCAGTTGATTGACAGTTGTGAGACGGGACCAAAGAGCCTAAACTGAACCCACTACCAGCACGATTAGGTGAACATTAGGCACCATTATACATGTTATTAGCGCTGGAGATGAAGGGTATTGTGGCAAGAGTGAAATGTAGAGTAGTGAAAGAGGTTGACGCGTATAGAGTAAAGAGCAGCAACACACTCTCCTGAGGTAAGAACATTACTCACAAAGATCTGCACCTCCCGAAGGGTGTCGGTAGATGAGAAGGTCTTGGAGGCCCTCACCAGACGCTGGTTACTGCTGCTGGCGGAGGAGGAGGCGCTGCCACCCGCGCCCCCGCCCGTCTGGGACGCCAGCCGCGGCTTCTTGCTCCGCGGGCCCATGTTCTGGAAAAAATATATATATTACATTCCCTTTAACACTGTTAATGATTATAATGTTGATACTAACACCATTAGTATTCCCCGCCAATATACATACAGAATAGTAGAATTAGATTTGTCATCAGACATTCCCCAACAAGCCTTGGCCTTTGCTGGCGTGTGACCCACTGGGAACCAACATGGGAAAAAGAAAAAGACCCGGGCACCGCCGGATAAACCCTCTAGTACCTATATAAAATAGAATGTCTGATGTAGAAGGCCAGATGCTTGGGGACAGCCTAACTCAACTTTGCAAAATAACCCAAGGAGGAAGCATATGAAGGGAGCAGTCCCAGTGCCATACATTACGAAACATTGGCATCTATATCGACCCTCATGCAATTTTCATGGTCTAAAATCAGGGGATGTGTTTTCATAGAGTTTTACGAACGTTATTCGTTGCTTTGTAATATTACATTTTCTGAAGTTGAAGGTAGGGGGAAAAGGGAGAGGAGAGAGGGGAGGGGGGAGAGGGGGAGAGGAGGGGGAAGAGGGAGGAGGAGGGGGGGAAGAGGGAGGAGGGGGGTAAGAGAGAGGAGATTGTAAGAGGAAAGGAGAGCGGAGGAAGAGGAGGAGAGAGGGAGTGGTGAGAGGGGAGATGTTGGGAAGAGGGAGAGAGACGGGGAGAAAGATTAAGCGGATGGAAGAGGGGTAGAAGAGGGGGGAGGAAAGAGGAGATGGGGAAGAGATGAGAGGCAGGAAGATAAAGAGAGTAGGAGAGAGTGGGAAAGGGAGCGGTCCGGGCTCAAGCAGGGACCACCACATCAAGCACAATATATCGAACACTGTAAACTATATCTGTCAATATATTAAGATATAACTGAGCACTACAGCAAGTCAACATTATCAATTATATTGGGAATGTGTAAAGGAGAGAGTATTAATGACCCACACCAGCAAGAAGCAAGCTCAAGGCAGGCAAGATGGACCTGGTAATTTGTCGACCTTTAACGGAAGTCAATATGAGTGAAAATGATGACATTACATACGCCGAAGGCAGGATACAGCAGTCACCCATTACTTTTTGTCCAGTTTAATCAGCGAGTTACGAGGTACACGGTACGGTTACGAGGTACACGAGGTACACGGTACGGTGCACCACGGTGAAGTGAAATATTCATTCCAACAACACCTGCCTCAAACTAGCGGCTTACATCTCGTTATGATGGTATAACTTGTGGGTACGGCAGTAATTGTCGTGGCGTCGTGCACCAGGGCAGTCCCCCTCCTCCTCTCCCGCCTACACCACCTCTTGCTCCCTTAACGGGGCCAGGACCTCCACCGTCCTGGGACGAGGACGCCTTCCACCGTCCTGGGACGAGGACGCCTTCCACCGTCCACGGAAGGACTGCTTCATACCAGTCAGTGAACATCAAGTCCCGTCTGGACAACTGGTCCTCCTAATAGTACGTCACATTTGGACGTATACTTTACCTAAGGCCAAAAACTGTCGTACTAGAAAATGGCAGCGGGTTGCGAAATTGACGTGCTGTCCCATTTTCTGTTCGTGGGTCCTCTGGTAGGTTAGGAAAAGGCACTTTATGCAGGGGGGTGGTGCAGGGGGAGGGGTGCAGGGGAGGGGGGGGGGGGGGGGGGGTGGGGGTGCGGGCCGTGGCAGTAAGTCAGCGGGTTATCAACGACACATGACCCACCTGCCGCCCTCTACACCATTGTCAGGAACACTCTACCCTTTTTACCCCGTCTTTTTCACCCTTCACTTCAACACGCCCGAGATTGATTCCCAGGAAAGTCATTCTTTCTCTTCCAATTGTTGAAGCAGCTAAGACCTGTGCCGCCGCCGCCGCCGGCTAGGCCAGGGGCCAGATTCACGAAGCAGTTACGCAAGCACTTACGAACCTGGGGCCAGATTCACGAAGCAGTTACGCAAGCACTTACGAACCTGGGGCCAGATTCACGAAGCAGTTATACAAGCACTTACGAACCTGGGGACAGATTCACGAAGCAGTTACGCAAGCACTTACGAACCTGGGGCCAGAGTCACGAAGCAGTTACGCAAGCACTTACGAACCTGGGGCCAGAGTCACGAAGCAGTTACGCAAGCACTTACGAACCTGGGGCCAGAGTCACGAAGCAGTTACGCAAGTACTTAGGAACCTGGGGCCAGATTCACGAAGCAGTTACGCAAGCACTTACGAACCCGGGGCCAGAGTCACGAAGCAGTTACGCAAGCACTTACGAACCTGGAGCCAGAGTCACGAAGCAGTTACTCAAGCACTTACGAACGTGTACATCTTTCCTCAATCTTTGACGGCTTTGGTTACATTTATTAAACAGTTTACAAGCATGAAAATGTTCCAATCAACTGTTGTTATTGTTATAAGCAGCCTCTTGGAGCTTCGGATCTCATTAACTGTTTAATAATTGTAAAAAAAAACCGCTAAAGATTGAGAAAAGAGGTTAAGGTTCGCAAGTGCTTGCGTAACTGCTTCGTGAATCTGGCTCCTGGTCTGGGGTTACTGTAAACTCCCGCTGACAACTCACAGAGTTTACCTAAATTTGATAGACTGATAGAACAGATCTAGTCAGACTGCATTATCACAACAGTATAAATTTATTAATTTGCTGGACACCGGAGATGATTTACCTAATGAATGAGAACAAGTATAACTGATATTCTGGTCTATGATAACTCGAGCAAATTAATTAAAATTCAAGTACTGTTATAGATGATAACTAAAGAGATGATAACTTTGTTGGAATACATGTCCACTGGCCTTCCCATAGCTTCAAGCTGCCACGAATCTCTAAGAAGGGAGGTAGAAATAGCCTAAGCTACTCTATCCCTTTGAGATGTATTTCTTAATTATCTCAATAAACATACTTGAACTTGAACCAGGAATCTCCTCTTTTACCTCCCAACCCGTTCTCGCACTTTCGTATAGTCAATATTGACTTATTAAATAAGTGCATATGTGACATACTAATTGATTGTGAATATTTTAGTTTACCTTGAAAAGCTTCATAGAAAACACCGACCTTACCTAACCTTCTTAGTATGTTAAGAAAGCATCTTATTGCTTCTTAATTACAATTATTTCTTATACCTATTATAGGTATAGGTTAAGTAATAATTGTAATTACGAAGCAATAAGATCCTTATCTTAACATACTAAGAAGGTTAGGTAAGGTCGGTGTTTTCTATGAAGCTTTTCAAGGTAAACTAAAATATTCACAATCAATTAGTATGTCACATATGCACTTATTTAATAAGTCAATATTGACCAAAGCAAGTGCGAGAACGGGTTGTACCTCCACAACCAAAGTGACACATGTTTCATTAATCGCTCGGTACGTGCAGCTGGTCCAGGTAACTCTACCTTCCATTAGCGGCACGTGATCCCATCTCACTACTAATTACAATTACCTGCTTCAGCTTAAGAAAAAACTACATTCAATACCGACTTCAAGATATTATAACATAGGCCATGATGTGACGACTTGTACAGAATTTTGTAACTAGCTCATCAAGACACTAACTTTCTTAGCTAAATGAATTGTGGGGTTGAATCCCTGAGCCCATTGTGTGCCTCTGTAACCCCCTCCACCACCCCCCACAAGCTGGGTATGGGGTGCATAATCCCTGAGCCCATTGTGTGCCTCTGTAACCCTCTTCACCACTCCCCACAAGCTGGGTATGGGGTGCATAATCCCTGAGCCCATTGTGTGCCTCTGTAACCCCCTCCACCACCGCCCACAAGCTGGGTATGGGGTGCATAATCCCTGAGCCCATTGTGTGCCTCTGTAACCCCCTCCACCACCGCCCACAAGCTGGGTATGGGGTGCATAATAAATGAATGTTGTTGTTGTTTTAGAATCAGCTGCAGGCGATGAGTCACAATAACGTGGCTGAAGTATGTTGACCAGACCACACACTAGAAGGTGAAGGGACGACGACGTTCCGGTCCGTCCTGGACCATTCTCAAGTCGATTCTTAAGAATAGTCCAGGATCGACTTGAGAATGGTCCAGGACGGACCGAAACGTCGTCGTCCCTTCAACTTCTAGTGTGTGGTCTGGTCAACTTAGAATCAGCTAGTCAGAAAAAAAGTTCCAAGCAGCACGGGGTATGGTGATCCCGTAAAATAAATGAACTAAAGCAAAGACCATACCTCTGTGGTGAGGGCGAGAGACAAGGGGGCCTGGGCGCCCCTGCTGCGTCCACTCCTGCGGGGGATGTCGTTGACGGAGTTCACCTGGCGCACGTGGATGATCTGGTGCTCGTACGAGAACTGGTCCTCGTAGTCCTGGGCGGCCCGCACCTCCACACACCCGCTCTCACACACACCTCAAACACAAACACATGACTTCACCTCCATACACCAGGAACCGGGAGATGTAAGTCATACATATAAACACATCTTTACTATAATAATAATTATAACAAATATATATGTATATACTCTTCCTAAGGTCTTTCAGCTTTCATTTGAGGAGTACATCTACCCCTGAAGAGGAGGAGGAGGAGGAGGAGGAGCAGCAGCAGCAGGTGCAGCAGCAGGAGCAGGAGCAGCAGCAGCAGCAGCAGCAGGAGGAGCAGCAGCAGCAGGTGCAGGAGGAGCAGCAGCAGCAGGAGGAGGAGCAGCAGCAGCAGGTGCAGGAGGAGCAGCAGCAGCAGCAGGAGCAGCAGCAGCAGCAGCAGCAGAAGCAGCAGGAGCAGGAGGAGCAGCAGCAGCAGGAGCAGCAGCAAGAGCAGCAGAAGCAGCAGGAGAAGCAGGAGCAGCAGCAGCAGCAGCAGGAGGAGCAGCAGGAGGAGCAGCAGCAGAAGGAGGAGGAGCAGCAGCAGCAGCAGAAGGAGGAGGAGCAGCAGCAGCAGCAGCAGCAGCAGGAGGAGCAGGAGCAACAGCAGGAGCAGCAGCAGCAGCAGGAGCAGCAGCAGCAGGAGCAGCAGCAGCAGCAGCAGCAGCAGTAGGAGCAGCAGCAGGAGCAACAGCAGCAGTAGCAGCAGCAGCAGTAGCAGCAGCAGGAGCAGCAGGAGCAGCAGCAGCAACAGCAGGAGCAGCAGCAACAGCAGCAGCAGCAACAGCAACAGCAGCAACAGCAGGAGCAGCAGCAACAGCAGCAGCAGCAACAGCAACAGCAGCAGCAGCAGCAGCAGGAGCAGCAGCAGCAGCAGCAGGAGCAGCAGCAGGAGCAGGAGCAGCAGCAAAAAAACTGATGTGGTGGAGGCTGACTCCACACACAGTATTCAAATGTAGATATGATAGAGCCCAATAGGCTCAGGAACCTGTACACCAGTTGACTGACGGTTGAGAGGCGGGACCAAAGAACCAGACGTCAACCCCCCACAAGCACAACTAAGCCAGTCCACACCTGGAGACACCCCGGGTAAACGACAAGCTTCCCAACAAGGCCATAACAACACGACGACAAGTCAAGGAGTAAAGACAATCGTCACTAACAAGGCATTAAGCAACTGCAGGGAACAATTAATGGCGGAGTGGGAGAGAAAGCTGACAAAAACAGCACCATTGATCACCACAACAAAAGCATTATGGCGATAAATAAGCCCGCGCAACGGTCGCGTCTTTACCGCCTGAGTAAATAATTCAGTTTTTACTGGAGGCTTCAAAGCCCGAGGCGAGGACGAGGACGAGGGAACGGGGTGCTAGTAATTATACTATAACAACTCTAAACCAGTACACTTATTTAACGTTCACAATATCTCTAAGGCTATGGGGAGGGAGTGAAAGAACGGTGGTAAATACTTTCATCAGTTTTAACATGCTCTTCATTCAAAATAGGAATTTTCTCAAATTTAAATTAATATTGTTATATATTACCATTCTGATCATATTTAGATATTGGAAAGTTAAGTGTTTACGTTCTGTTGGCGATTATTTGTATTTGTAGTACGTGGGTGAAGCATTTACACCGTTGTGGTTCGAACAAAATTCGTCAGTGAAGCACTTGTTCCGGAAGTGTTCGAACGTCAGCAGTTGTGAGTCGTGTGTAAACCGTTTTTCATTCATAAACACGGGGGTTTGGCGGGTGCATGGAATCACTTTTGGGTCTTTGTTTTGGAGGACGGGCTGGAGCATTCACAACGATGTGGTTTGAACAAAAGTCGTCAGCAAGCGCTTGTGCCAGAAGTGCTCGACTCAACTGATGACGTCCGAACACTTTTGGAACAAGCGCTTCGTTCACGTCCTCTGTTCGAACCACAATTCTATAAACAGCCCGTTCTCTAAGCCAAGACCCAAAGTACATTCCATACACCCGCCAAACCCGCTGTTTATAAATGAAAAACGGTTTACACACGACTTCCAACTGATGACGTACTCGCCACCAGGATGGGTACAGAGTACATAATAAACAACCCTAATAGAAACACCAGGCTACAGAGGACAGGAAACACCAGGCTACAGAGGACAGGAAACACCAGGCTACAGAGGACAGGAAACACCAGGCTACAGAGGACAGGAAACACCAGGCTACAGAGGACAGGAAACACCAGGCTACAGAGGACAGGAAACACCAGGCTACAGAGGACAGGAAACACCAGGCTACAGAGGACAGGAAACACCAGGCTACAGAGGACAGGAAAAACCAGGCTACAGAGGACAGGAAACACCAGGCTACAGAGGACAGGAAACCAGGCTACAGAGGACAGGAAACGCCAGGCTACAGAGGACAGGAAACACCAGGCTACAGGGCTACAGAGGACAGGAAACACCAGGCTACAGGGGACAGGAAACACCAGGCTACAGAGGACAGGAAACACCAGGCTACAGAGGACAGGAAACGCCAGGCTACAGAGGACAGGAAACGCCAGGCTACAGAGGACAGGAAACACCAGGCTACAGAGGACAGGAAACGCCAGGCTACAGAGGACAGGAAACGCCAGGCTACAGAGGACAGGAAACACCAGGCTACAGAGGACAGGCTACAGAACAGGAAACACCAGGCTACAGAGGACAGGAAACGCCAGGCTACAGAGGACAGGAAACGCCAGGCTACAGAGGACAGGAAACACCAGGCTACAGAGGACAGGAAACACCAGGCTACAGAGGACAGGAAACACCAGGCTACAGAGGACAGGAAACAGGCTACCAGGCTACAGAGGACAGGAAACACCAGGCTACAGAGGACAGGAAACACCAGGCTACAGAGGACAGGAAACACCAGGCTACAGAGGACAGGAAACACCAGGCTACAGAGGACAGGAAACACCAGGCTACAGAGGACAGGAAACACCAGGCTACAGAGGACAGGAAACACCAGGCTACAGAGGACAGGAAACACCAGGCTACAGAGGACAGGAAACACCAGGCTACAGAGGACAGGAAACACCAGGCTACAGAGGACAGGAAACACCAGGCTACAGAGGACAGGAAACACCAGGCTACAGAGGACAGGAAACACCAGGCTACAGAGGACAGGAAACACCAGGCTACAGAGGACAGGAAACACCAGGCTACAGAGGACAGGAAACACCAGGCTACAGAGGACAGGAAACACCAGGCTACAGAGGACAGGAAACACCAGGCTACAGAGGACAGGAAACACCAGGCTACAGAGGACAGGAAACACCAGGCTACAGAGGACAGGAAACACCAGGCTACAGAGGACAGGGCTACAGAGGACAGGAAACACCAGCTACAGAGGACAGGAAACACCAGGCTACAGAGGACAGGAAACACCAGGCTACAGAGGATAGGAAACACCAGGCTAATGAGGACAGGAAACACCAGGCTACAGAGGACAGGAAACACCAGGCTACAGAGGACAGGAAACACCAGGCTACAGAGGACAGGAAACACCAGGCTACAGAGGACAGGAAACACCAGGCTACAGAGGACAGGAAACACCAGGCTACAGAGGACAGGAAACACCAGGCTACAGAGGACAGGAAACACCAGGCTACAGAGGACAGGAAACCAGGCTACAGAGGACAGGAAACACAGGCTACAGAGGACAGGAAACACCAGGCTACAGAGGACAGGAAACACCAGGCTACAGAGGACAGGAAACACCAGGCTACAGAGGACAGGAAACACCAGGCTACAGAGGACAGGAAACACCAGGCTACAGAGGACAGGAAACACCAGGCTACAGAGGACAGGAAACACCAGGCTACAGAGGACAGGAAACACCAGGCTACAGAGGACAGGACCAGGCTACAGAGGACACCAGGCTACAGAGGACAGGAAACACCAGGCTACAGAGGACAGGAAACACCAGGCTACAGAGGACAGGAAACACCAGGCTACAGAGGACAGGAAACACCAGGCTACAGAGGACAGGAAACACCAGGCTACAGAGGACAGGAAACACCAGGCTACAGAGGACAGGAAACACCAGGCTACAGAGGACAGGAAACACCAGGCTACAGAGGACAGGAAACACCAGGCTACAGAGGACAGGAAACACCAGGCTACAGAGGACAGGAAACACCAGGCTACAGAGGACAGGAAACACCAGACTACAGAGGACAGGAAACACCAGGCTACAGAGGACAGGAAACACCAGGCTACAGAGGACAGGAAACACCAGGCTACAGAGGACAGGAAACACCAGGCTACAGACGACACAAAACTCGGCATTTAATACCTATAATAAACATATTATAGGTATTAAATGCCCTCCCCTATAATACCCGGTACACCTTTCACACCGGGTACCGGACCTTCTCCCTCCCGGTACACCTCTCACATAGAGTGTTTCACAACATATTTACGAAGCCAGTGCCAAGTGTGATCGCAGGGAAGACAGGTGTGTGCCAAGTGTGATCGCAGGGAAGACAGGTGTGTGCCAAGTGTGAACGCAGGGAAGACAGGTGTGTGCCAAGTGTGAACGCAGGGAAGACAGGTGTGTGCCAAGTGTGAACGCAGGGAAGACAGGTGTGTGCCAAGTGTGAGTGTGAACGCAGGGAAGACAGGTGTGTGCCAAGTGTGAACGCAGGGAAGACAGGTGTGTGCCAAGTGTGAACGCAGGGAAGACAGGTGTGTGCCAAGTGTGAACGCAGGGAAGACAGGTGTGTGCCAAGTGTGAACGTAGGGAAGACAGGTGTGTGTGCCAAGTGTGATCGCAGGGAAGACAGGTGTGTGCCAAGTGTGAACGCAGGGAAGACAGGTGTGTGCCAAGTGTGATCGCAGGGAAGACAGGTGTGTGCCAAGTGTGAACGCAGGGAAGACAGGTGTGTGCCAAGTGTGAACGCAGGGAAGACAGGTGTGTGCCAAGTGTGAACGCAAGGAACACAGGTGTATTCCTGTGACTACAAATGGGTAATTAGAGCGGTTGGTTTTTGTGCTGGCGTTATATGGGTACACACGCAACACCAGGGGG